TTCTGTCCCACATACCTACGAGAGAGTTCCAGCCAAATTGTAGGCACCTATAATTTTTTAAAAACTTCATTAGAAGCCTGACTTAGATACCACAGTGTCCCCGTAATGTAAGTAAGGAGATTTCTTGTGGAGTAGGATGTTTTAGTGTGTGAATAAAAGCTCAGTTATGTAGTAGAAAAAACCCTGAACCAAGATTCTACCTCTCCACTTGGCTTAGCCACACATTTAAACCTTTTTTGAATTTCAGCTAATTTGTCCTTTTTTTTTAGTGTCCAGGGATCAACTTATTTCTTTTATGTCAAGTAAGAGGGAAAGTTGTGCTGAGACACTTGGTTGAAAGGTTCTTGGTAGTTTGAAGTTTCATCTCACTGTAATGTATTTGGTTTTTAGTTAAGCCAATTATGATTGTATTAATATTTCTTTGCTTATTAAAAAATGAGGCATTCTATTTATATGTCCATCAATTTATAGGCATTTTGATTACAAATGAAATTGAATGGTTAATTTTACTCCCCAAGAATTCTGCTTTCTGCATCAGTGAAGTTTTATTTTAACAAGTGTTTTTTCAGTTTAGAGTTCTATATTAGGATCACGCTCTCTAGGGTAAAAACTGTGGAAAAAGGTGGCTGGCCTTGAGAAATATACAGTTGCTCTGCTGGAGTCCTTTCAGGGTTGAAATGGAGTAATAAAATCAGAAATCACAGAACAGTTTCTAATTTCAAAGACAGACAGTATGACCTTGTCTACATAGTTCAGGTGGAAACCAAGAAGGAACATAGAGAAGGAAATTGAGTTCCCGTCCAGGTGACACAGAACCAAAACAACATCCAGTCATATATCTGGAATTACAACGTGAGCCATTCACCTCAGGGTCCAGGAAGCTCTCACCTAGAAATGTTTTTCTCCTATATTTTTATTCTTATGTGAAAAAGCCCTGATTAAATTTCTACAGCCAGCTCACACATAAAAATTAGTTTTCCCTCCCATTCATTCTTGGTTCTCTATCTTATTGAACTAGAGCCTATAATTTAACTTAAAAATAATTATTTCTGATATATATTTGGTTCTTTGGCTTTTCTTGAACAAGCTTCTTTTAAAGCCATTAAGGGGACTTCCCAGGTACCTAGATTCACCAGTGTTTTGGACTCTTTGCTACACGTTTCGCACCCTAGAGAAAGGAAACTTACATTGATTAGGGGCTTCCAGTCTGCCTAGCATTGTCACATTTATCAGCAATCACCTCCCAGCTGCTTCATTCAGTAGATGATTTTTCATTCTCAATGTAGTATTTCTTGGACCCTGGTTGGACTTTCTGTTGGCTAGGAGGTGACATGTAGTGGCTTGGGCAAACTGTTTGCCAATCCATCAGTATCTGATAGATGGAAGCTTTTGAACTTTTTGTTTTTGTTTAAGTTATATAATGATAAATGTCAGTAGTTAAACCAATAATTTTTTTTTAGAGGTGAGATGGTACAGTGCAATGGATTGCTTTTATATGGCCTTTCTCACCATGGTATTGTAATTTCCACCAAATGACTAGGTGGGACTATGCAAATGAGGTGTTTGTGGCCCACCCAGGGGGTTGGATAGCTTGTTAGTAATGCAAATAAGGTGTGTAGCACCCTTTTGGGGCTGGAACCATGCAAATAAGGTGTATGGAGCACTCACGAGGGGATTGGTCAGTTTTGCCATTCTGCTAGGCTTAAAATGAACCATTCTAGAGGTGGAGAGAGAGGACCTCACTACCACCAAGAAAGAAGAGCTAGGAGTAGAGTGCATCCTTTGGACCAGGATCCCTGCACTGAAAGCCTCTGAGACCCAAGCGACAGAGAGAGAGCGAGAGCTGTCATTGTGGAGATGGGGAGAGATAGTGAGAAGCAGTGGCAGGGAAATGGCAGCAGCAGAGGCAGCAGAACCAGGAGACTTGCAGGACATGGTGTGATGGGCTTTCTGGCCCACGGAGCAAGAAAACTTAGCACATTTGGGCCAGGTGCTTGCTGGTGGAGTGGGGTGCCTCTGGGCACTTGGTGGAGCTAGGCTCGCAGACCCACTTAGCTAGACAGCTGAGCTCCTTCGGGCTAAGGCTTACTGGCAGAGTGGTGTGCCTCTGAGCACTTATCGATGGAGCTAAAGAGCTTTGTAACACTTGCCCGAGCAGGGCAGAGGCCTGGCTGAGGGGCTGAAGGGCTGAGGGCCAGAGAGAGGCCTGCCTGTGGGCATGTCTGAGAAGAGACTGTCCTGATCAAAGAATCATATCCTGAGTCATTTCTGATCCTAAATTGTAACCTGTTACTTTCCTAATAAACCTCATAATTGTGAGTGTGGTCTGTTTGAGTTCTGTGTGGCCATCGCAACAAATGATCAAACCCAGCAGAGAAGTAGAGAGTGCCATAGGAGGGATGTCTGGTGACAGAATTGGTAAAAAGGTTGGAGAGGGGAGGTATGTCTGACCTCCACTTCATAGGAATCAGCTTTGGGCTGATGCTGATGGTGATTCTCTCTCCTACTCGTGAAGTTAGAGGAGGTCAGACATCCCCGCCACGCCATTTTTACAGATGGTTTCATTCATTCAATAGCTGAGAAAAGGAATTGAAAGTGTTAAAGTGTGTTGTGACCACAGACAGGCATACTTTTTCTCCCAGTGTGGTAAAATAGGAGGGAGAGCATTATGGGTTGATTTGTAGTCTTTCTAATAGTGGAATTATTGCCTGGGGAGTTTTGCTCTTGCCTGATTATGTAACAATTGGTGTGTCAATATGAGGCGCTCAGAATGTCTTTTTTTGGGGTAAATGATTCTCACAATGTGGTACTTAAGGGATGATAAGTATTAAACATCCAAACCAAACCCATTGCCGTCAAGTCGAGTCCAACTCATAGCAATCCTGTAGGACAGAGTAGAACTGTCCCATAGGGTTTCCAAGGCTGTATTCTTTACGGAAGCAGACTGCCATATATTTCACCCGTGGAACGGAGCAGCTGGTGTGTTGGAACTACTGACCTTTCAGTTAGCAGCCGAGCACTTGACCACTGTACCACCAGGGCTCCTTATTAAACGTCCAGTGTCTCTTAATTCAGAAAAGATGGTCGAGTCATTTTCAACTCAAAAAGAAATGAGAATCATACAAGAATCTTGATCAGATGAGCACAGTGTCCCAAGTAAAGATGGTCCTCTGAGTTCAGATCTTCCTAGCTGCCTGACTTTGGGCAAGGACTTTAACTAGCTTGAGCCTCAGTTTCCCAGTGTGCAAATTGTGAGTTACAACATTTTGGAGATTGAAGAGATGATGAACACAAAAGACCTGGGACAGTTTCTGTGTCCAGAGAAGACACTTGGGAAATAGTTATAGGCATCTTCAGTGGTTATGTTCTCAGTAGTTGTTGAGTTCCTTCTGATAGGATTTGGAATCAGGGTCAATAGAAGCTGCACGAGTCACCTCAATGCAAATGGATCTTTTTCTTTGTGCCCCATTAGTAATTAAATGGTCAGGGATGGCCTAAACATTTGAGTAGAGCTGGAGTAGCCTTACCTTCTCACCTCCTCTTTTCCCCATACCCCCACCCCCAGCATCCTCTAAGTTTCACCAGCACAGTTCAGCTTTTGGCACTGCTCCTCCAGGTGACCTTTGTCTACTTCCTGAGGCCCTAGCTGTTCCTGCCTCATTGACCCCACCTCCTAGTGGAAGAAGTAATGAAATGAGGTGTTACAAAGGGCACTGCATCACCAAAGATGGAGCCTTGCTTCCTACCTTCCTAGCAACCAAGGATGCTGGTCAGGAGGGCAAAAGTCACATGCGTTTATATCATTAAAATGCCAGCAGTTATGTGCATCCATCTAAATAATAGAGGCTGTGAATAAAATGTGGCAAGGCTATAAGGGCCTCCTGTTAATGGATGAAAAAAAAGCAGGTACAGGCTATACATCCTCCCCACCTGGATTTCCATAGATACACTGCTTTTTTCCCTGACTTCTTGTCATTAGTTGCCTTCATTCAAGTTGGCTCTGACTCATGGTGACCTTGTGTATTACAGAACGAAATGTTGCCCTGTCCTGTGCCATCTCCATGATCATTGGTATGTTTAAGCCCATTGTTGCAGCTATTATGTCAGTTCATCTCGTTGAGGGTTTCCCTTGTTTTCACTGGCCCTCTACTTTTGCCATGACAGAAGCTGGTTATTTGTAATTTTCCTTTATGGCCGAGCCTCAGGGTGGGTGGTCAATGGAACAAGTACAGAGAAAATAGTTGGCAGCCAGTGTCTTCCTTTTCTTCACACTAAAACCCCCCTTTATCCCGCTTTTAAACCATAATATTAGAGGGTTTACCAGACAAAGGGAGAATAGACAGTGCCCTGCTGTTGCTAGGCAACCAGAAAAAAAACAAGCCCAGTCATAGTCTATAACTGATGATTTTCCCTAGGAATCTGGCTGCTCCTGCTAAGTAATTCACCTAGTGTTAACAGATTTGCATAATGGTGAGGCTGGAAGCTCTCCTTCATCCTTCAACTCCTTACTCCTCACCCCTTGCCCACATCAGTAAAGTCCCAGATCCATTATTTAAATCTTGAGATATTCTGAGGGAAGGTGCTATGCAGATGCAAATGTGCTTTATTATACAACTAGAGTATATACTGTATTTCTAAGGCCTTGAATCATTTTTAAAAGTAAACAGATACCCCCTTCTCAGCAGTAACAGTGTTCTAACAGTCCATGGATGCTGACGGGTCTATATTCATTTGACACTTCCCTGGGAGTATTTTGTAAAGGTAGATTTTAGCTACAGGAGAAGCCTGTGCATACAACCAATCACATTAGATTGTTACTGATTACATCGTCAAATAACCATTTTGTTCTGTTCTCACTGGGCTTGGCCATTCTCTCTGTGGCTGACATTATGGCACTGCATTTCCCAGTCTTGGAAGGTACTGACTTACTGAGAAGTGGTGTCACCTGCCCGTGGGTCCCAAGCTGACTTCCTGTAACCTGTTCTGTATGTTTGTTGCAGATTTGGTCACCTCCCTGACTGAGTTCCCAACCCCCCAGGACTCAACTCGACATCGCCCTCAACCGCTGACATTTACAGCGGAAGCAGAGCTAGATCTACAGACATTGACCAGACAAGATGGAGAGATTGGAGATCCAGCTGAAGAAAATATTGTTTACCTCTAATTGTGTGTTGTTATTTTTCCAAACAAAACAAAACACTGGCACTTTTGAGAGAAACTTTTTTTTTCTTTTCCGGATGTGTGTGTAATTGTGTCCAAATTGTTTTAAAAAATGATATTTAATATTTCATGCAAGTTTATGGGGGAGGGCATGAATGTAATGATTAAATTATTGAAAGCAGCTCTGTTTGTTTAATCTTTACCTTATGACACCTAATTTCAGATTCCTGGGGGAGAAATTAACTTGAATAAGCAGAAGTATTTTAAAAGTTGTTTTGACTCTGGAGCAAAATTCCATATTGCATTTTCTACTGGATCATCTGGATTTTGAAAGGCCTCCTAAGACCTAGATGAAAGAATTCGGATTTATGGAGCAATATTTGTAATGGGCCAACTTTCCCAGTAACAACTGATTATCAGGAATGGCCTCAGTGTCCCAAAAGGCAGAGGAGGGTGTGGGAAAGGGCTGTCTGGGCTTGTTTTTATGTGCTACTGTCTCTTTGGGGCATCAGAAGGGCCACTCCCATTGACCGTTCACACCACCATTCAACCAAGCTGTCCCGAGCACTTGTTCTGACCAGGCAGCCAAGTGCACTAGGGACACAGTCCTGACACTCTTAGGACCTGAGCTACATGCTTTGCAGGTGCACGTTCCTGGTGCTAGTAGGCTTTCAAGCCACAGTTCAGCATCCTCTTTCAACTCAGCCATCAGCAGAGGCCCACGGACACCAGCAAGTCCATTTTGTTGTAAGTGTGAAAGTCCATTTGAAAGTCCTCCATTGGGCCCTGTCCCTGCCACCGCCTGGGAGCACCAACACCTGCCATTCTCTTTAGAAGAAACTCTTACCTGCAGGTCTTTAAGGTAAAAAAAAACTGTCTGCGAAGCTTGTCGCCTGTGTACGCTTTTCCATGAAGGAAAATTGGTACATCCTGCCTTTGGAGTAATAAGGGCCTCTGTGTGAGAAAATAAACCAGAAGATGTTTTCACTTTTTTTTTTCAGAAATATTTGTATATATTTTGCTCAGTGTTAATAAATATCTTTTACTTCATTATTTTACCTTGTAATTGTAATATTAAGCAGAGGGACCATAATAAAATACACATTTCACACACTAACACAATCTCCCCTTGTTACAAGTTCAAATACATGAGGTGTATTCAATTTACCCAGAATTCAATTTCTAACAAACAGGGAGAGAGATATGATAGGAAGGGAAAAAGCTCACCCAGAACCTCATGGCTTATTTTTTCCTACTTAAAATTTTTAAGTTGTGTACCTATATTGTATTGTCACTTAGGCAAGTCAAATCTTAGTTTTTTTTAAAAAAGCTTTTTTGGGGGCACTTTTTTTCTGACTTGCTGCTTCTGGTCATTTTGGTCACAATCATATTAAAAATTCAGTGACTAATCCTTTGACATAATGAATATAACATTAAAAATCTGGTCAATCACTTCACCCCCAAGCATATCTAGTTAGTTAGCTAGATAGCTGCTGTTGGGTCAACTCCAACTCATGGTGACCTCAGGTACAACAGAATGAAACATTGCCCGGTCCTGCGTCATCCTCATGATCACTGGTGCATTCAAGTCATCGTCGTGGCTATTGTGCCAATCCATCTCACCCAGGGTCTCCCTCGCCCTTGTTGGCCCTCTACTTCACCCAACATGATGTCCTCCTTCAGCGATTGATGCTTCCTGATGATGTGTCCGAAGCAAGCGAGTTAGACAATGTTCTGTTGTGATCCGTAAGATTTTCATTGGCTAATTTTTGGAAGTAGATCGCCAGGCCTTTCTTCCTAGTCTTAGGCTGTAAGCTTTGCTGAAACCTGCCCCCCATGGGTGACCCTATTGGTATTTGAAATATCAGTGTCATAGCTTCCAGCATCACAGCAATACACAAGTCACCACAGTACAACAAACTGATAGATGGGTGATGACCCCTAAGTATAACTCCTAAACTATAAGATTCACTTTCCATTTTTAAGGGCATCTAGAAAGAGAAACCTTTCTAGTATCCATTTCTCTCCAATATACTCTATTTCAGAATCCTATATCCCGTGAACAAAAAGCATGTAGATAGTTCATTCTAAATTCTTGCTCCGATAACTATAAATATCTTTCTTTTTTTCCCCTAACAGTGGATATGGAAAGAGTGAAAATATGTAGAGATGTACAAAATCCCCATAGAGTTCTTTAAAGCTGCATATGCTCAGTTGATTTTCAAGTCCTATAAGCCCAGATCTCACTGGAGTCCCCCTGGGGAAGCCTCAGCATCCTTGAAGACACAGGATTTTGTTATGAGGACAGATCTCCCCCCGCCCCCCACCTTCACAGGGATGAGTGCTACATTTCATCTCACTGTCTTGATGACAGAGCCCTGGTGGCACAGTGGTTAAGAGCTCAGCTGCTAACCAAAAGGTTGGCAGTTCGAATCCACCAGTTGCTCCTTGGAAACCCAATGGGGTAGTTCTACTCTGTCCTATAGGGTTTCTGAGTCAGAATTGACTTGATGGCAACAGGTAGTAGCAGCAGTAGTAGTACTCTTGATAACAGCAAAAAATAAAGTCAGGAACCCCTCTCCCCCATGCGGGAGATGATTTTTTTGTCTAATTCATATTCATTTTGGGCTTAAAGTTTGCGCTTACCTGCAGACTGGAAAAACTATATTCATAGGTTCATTTTGGTAATTCTCTTATTTTGATATTATGACTTTTCAACTGAATATAACTAGATTTCAAAGCTTTCTTGGCAAGTTCTTTTTTCCCCTTTGTTCTCACTATGTAATGAGGTGAGACCTCAATAGAGAGTCATCCTGTAACACCAATACAAATTCACAAATCTTAAGATCACCCTATTTCCCAGGACCATAAATAAATTGCCCCCAAAGGATCTACTTTCCCCACCAAGTTAAGAGATTAAAGATAACATTCACCCCTTCAGAGGCTTGTCGGGGACAGAAAGCAGTGTTTTTCCTCTATCCCTCCCAGGCCGCATGAATTTGCGTGCTCTCTCACAGTCTAAGTCCCTCTGCGTTTCATCAGGATGGCATAATAGTTGGAGGCAGGAAACACTTTCCAGCCCACTTACAGTTGGAGCTCTGTTCATTCAGAAAAGGGTAAAAAGACAACAGCAGGTAGAGGTGGAGTGTGTTGATGTGTATGTATTCATGTGTGCGTGCGCAGGAGTTATGTAAGGAGAAGGTGAGCATGATTAAATCATGTGAAGACAGACAAAGCAGTAAAATGGAATATGTATTCCTTCCTGTGACCTAGGATCACTTTCAAACTCAGAACCAACCTGAGATTGTCAAGGTTCAACCCATGCTGTCTTCAGCATTGAAAGGCAGTAGAGCATAGCAGTTGAGAGTATGGACTCTAAAGCCTGCTCTGCCACTTACTGGCTGTGTGACCTTAGCAAGTTACTTCACCTCTCTGTGCCTCAGTTTCCTCATCTGTAAAGCAAGGATGATTACCTTATAGAGTTGTTGTCGGGATTAAATGATTAATATGTGCAATATGCTTAAAACAGAGCCTGAAGCATAGTAATCATTCAATAAATGCTAGCTATCATTACTATCATATCATTAAGGAGTCTTTTAATAATTGCTCAGCCTGGTCCCAGTCCTTAGGCAGATTGCTCCCAAGTAGGCAGAAACTGAATAGGGAGAACTCAAGTGCCTTGAAATGGCTAATTTTAAGACTGGACTAAGGTTGCATAAGGTTAGCTTTCAATTTATTTGCATCTCTAAACCTCCACTCAACTCATTTATTCAGTAAATATTTATTGACAGTTACCTAAAGGTCAAGCCATCTACTGGGGATGAAATAAAGATGAATAAGCCCTCAAGATATTGAAGAAGACAAACACGTGAACAGATAATCCTAATGTAAGGAGGCAAGAACAATGATACGGAGATATACAGATTGTCAGGGGGAGTGTCTTAGTTATCTAGTGCTGCTATAACAGAAATACCACAAATGAATGGCTTTAACGAAGAGAAATTCATTCTCTCACAGTCTAGGAGGCTAGAAGTCCGAATTCAGAGTGCCAGCTCCAGGGGAAGGCTTTCTCTCTCTGTCAGCTCTGGAGGAAGGTCCTTGTCATCAGTCTTCCCCTGGTCTAGGAGCTTCTCCCCGAAGGGAACTCAGGTCCAAAGGACGCCCTCTGCTCCTGGCACAACTTTCTTGGTGGTATGAGGTCCCCCATCTCTCTGCTTGTTTCTCTCTTTCGTATATTAAAAGAGATTGATTTAAGACACAACCTAATTTTTGTAGATTGCCTCATTAACAACTCATTAACAACTCATTAACAACTGATGCTAATCTTACCTCATTGACCTCATAGAGGTAGGATTTACAACACACAGAAAAGTCACATCAGATGACAAAATGGTGGACAATTACAATACTGGGAATCATGGAGTAGCCAAGTTGACACACATTTTGGGGGGGGGGACACAATGCAATTCATAACATTCCACCCTTTGGCCCCCCAAATTCATGTTCTTGCCATGTGTAAAACACATTCACTCCATCATATTATAGCAAAAGTCTTAAATCAACTCCAAGTCCAAAATCCAAAAATTCCTCCTCATCTGTGAAATCAAGAATATAAGTTATCTGCTTCCAAAGTACAATGGTGGAACAGGAATAAGCTAGACATTCTCATTACAAATAGGAGAAACTGGAGGGAAAGAAGGGATGAGAGGTACCAAGCAAGTCAGCAGAACACATCACATTAGCTCTCAAGGCTTAAAAATAATCCTCTATTCTCTGAGACTATTTAGACAATTGCCTTGCCCTCCAGACTCTGGGTGTTGGCCACTCTGTCTGGATTCTGGGTGGAGGTCCCCCAGACCTAGGCTTCAGCAAATTTGGGTGGCCCAATTCTCCTGGTTCATCTGAGTGGTGGCTCTACCCTTTGAGACTCCAGAGTTCATGGCCCTACCCTTCGAGACTGAGGCAGCTCTGTTTCCTGTGTTCCTTGTCTCTTCCTGGTTCCTT